CCAAATTTACAATTTAAAAAACCCCAATGATAAGCTCTAAATACCTTTATTCTAAGAAAATCTTCAACTCTTCCCTCTGACAAAAATTAAAATGGGAAGCTTGAGCAGGACCAAATTATACTGGATGGGCAGTTACATATCTTCCCCAGCACGTGGCCCATGCTACACACACATGTTTTCCTTCAGGTACTAACGGCCCTGGCCACACAGGGAGCGAGTCCTGCTGGGACAAGGCCTCTGTGGCAGTGGCCTCCTTGTCACCGCTCCATCTCACCAGGAGGCCAGGGTTTTCAGAGGCGAGGGGACATAGAGCTCATACACTTCAGATCAATTTCCCGAGAAAAACTGTGGAAAAGACCAAGACCACCTGCAGTGCGGGAAACATGAGCACGGCCCCTAAGCAGAGCAACAGGCCCGAAGCAAGATGGCCTGACGTTTACACCAGAACCAGAACAACAATCACCTGGCCTCAGTTTAATGACCACCACCTCACCTGCAATGAACTGCTCGTACTCAATGTCAGGGATGTTTCTGTTGAGACTTGGAGATCAAAAAAGTCAGACCAGGGAATCCCTACCTGGTGGATGTCGGGGCTTTGCCAGTGGTAGAGGCGGCCCCAAGGGGGTAGCACTAGTACCGACTCCTCCATCTTCAGCAGGGTTTTCAGGAGTGAGGCGATGTGGATGCAGACGTCTCTGTGGAGGCTGAAGCCCTCTAGGGGGTTGACTGCACAGAAGGTACCTGGCAGGGAGCAAAGGAGAGCGGGTCTTCAGGGCCAGGCCTCTGCACAGGAAACCCGGCTCCATACCCACAGCCCATGGCCCGGACTCCAGGCACATTCAGCAGCTTCTGGTTTGTAAGTGGAGGCACTGCCCACCCATCTCCATGTGGCCAATTACTTCGAGTCCAGGAGCAGATGCAGAAGACATCTTGGCATCCGTTTAACACCAGCTAAGACTAGCACCTGAGCACCTGTTCTCCAGGGGCTCTCAACCTTCTTGGTCTACAGACCCCTGTACACTCTTAACAATTACTGAGGACTCCAAAAGGCTGCTATTTATCTGGGTTAAATCTATCAATAGTTCCTGTGTTAGAAGAACTTTAAAAAATGTTAATGAATTG